CCCCCCCACCCCTTCTCTCTTTCTCTCTCCTCCGTCTCTGTCTCTCTCGAGGAACGAGACTCGCGGCTTCGAAGGACGGCCGCGAGAAAAATCGCACAAATGATCTCATATCGGAAAACAGTTCTGGGACTTTACGAGCGGGACAGATACGCCCTGACCTGCGCGCAGATTTTTATGGGACGCGAACGTCCCCACGGTACGAGGACCGGAATTTTCGCGAGGGCGGAACGAAGGGCGACGGAGGAGCCGGCCCGCGATTTGGATTTCGTGAGGAGGCACCGTGTTTATTTAAATCGAGCGTCCCACGTCGCGGGACCGGCACGTAACGCAAACGCTGGCTCGCATAAAAACGAGGGCTACGTCTCGTCTCGCGATGAAAAATTAAAGAGCGAGAGGCCGTGACAAGAATGTATCCTCTTACGTGGGGGGACCCGGTCTCCTCGTACGAGTCCAGGTGATGATAATCTCATGTAAATTCACCGTGTCGGCCGAACGCGTCTACGATCGTCGGCAAAGTGCGGCCCGCTCCGTCTCGCGCTCGACGGCGCAAATCCGGATGCATATATAACGTACGGGAAGTAAGTAGAACTTGTGCTACGTCGAGTCGCGAGCGCGCACAAGTTTCGTCGAGAGCAATTTTAGCAACTGCGCGCCGCGTCGATACGTCGTCGTTGGAACGAAACGATCGAAACGTCCGTCGAAAAACGCAGCTGTCAGATGCACCCGCGGCCCGACTCGCGTGTTCGGGAGAGCCTCGGCGTTCGCCACCAGCAATACCTGTACATCTTGCCGGCCGCTAAATTAACTTGTCACCTTTCCACGTGGCAATGAAATATGGACGCGTTCGACGCGTATCTTCGGACATTAAGCGAAACGAGACGGAATTAGCGCTCCTCGGACGCGTTAGGTCGAGTCGGAGAAAATGAAACGACAGTGTACGTAATGAGACGACGCGAGCGAAGAAATATCGAAGCACCTCACGGTTACCTCACGATTTCGATACAGCGGGCGGAATTTCGCGTCGTGTTTCTCCGCCGTCCCACGTCCTAGCTTTTCACTGTTAACTCGACAAACAGACGCGTATTTTGACGAACGGTGCTCGAGAGCGGCGGCCATGCGCGCGTATACAAGTGCGTTTCGCCGGTTCTGTGTGCAAATATATCTCTCGTAATCCTTACATCTCGGCAGAATCGCAAGATCAAACGACGATCGAGACGCGCCGGTAAATTTTTCCGCCGTTTCGCCGATCGATTTTCGTCAACCTCGAGGCGTCACCGTCGAGGTGAATGCTCGTCGCGGAATGCTCTCGCGGGGAAAACGCGCGATTCGAGACACGGTGCATCGAAACTCGCCGGGATCTGAAGTACACACACACATACGCGCGCACAATCGCGGCAAATCGAATCGCGCGTTCTACCGCGCGGCACAAAAGACGCGATCGTTAGCGCCATTAGCGATTAATTAATTGCCGACACGCGGATAAATACCGTGTATCGCGGCGATAACCAGGCGTGAGCCAGGTCGGGGCCGCGTCTGCCGATAATTATGAACAAGCCAACTCATTAGTCGCAGTCGACGTTAACGGCCTCGTCCGCCATCGGCCGGTTTCGTTCGGTCTTCTATATGAGCCGTCGAATTACTGCTAACCATCGCCGGCGTTAAGGAGATTACGCGTCCCCCGGAAACGGCTCTGACGAGATTACGTGCGCGCGGTAAAGAAAGAATGTAGAGCAGAGGTGATTACGAGAAATTATTCCCGCGACGTTACGATAACTCGATATGTTGCGATGGTAACACGCCCCGTAACAACCGTTACGAACGGATTACGGTCATCAATTAAACCTGACGTCGTGCACCGATTTCATCGCCTCGCCGTAATCCGACGCCGACGTCTAACCAAACCGCTCTGTACATCGTCTCGACGAAAGCAAGACATTAATGAAGGAGATCGTTATGCTTTGAGAGACAGATGGATAGAAAGAAAGCTGAGAGGGGGAGAGAGGGGGAGAAGAGAAATTCAAAATTTAGTTCGTTTCACAAGGGAGCTTCGAATAGAATTAACATGCGACGCATGCAGCGACAATTAACTATTTTCGAAGCCCAAGCTTGATTTTCCGATAATACAATAAACTCGTGCCTTTTTGTTCTCCAATCTCTCGTTTATATTCTAAAATTGGCTCATCGTGAACTCCATTCGCTCAATTCCAACGGTGGAACGTGTCCCCTGACGAGAATCCCTCCATGCGATAATTTTCCGCGCGCCGATCGGACGAGTCACGAAAATCCGCCTCTTACAGATCGGCAGAAGTTAGAAAATATCCGGGCCGGCCGACCTCGAGGACGATCCATCAGCGAGTGATGTCGAGGCGCTAGGACAACGAGACAGAGGAAGAGATAGATAAAGAGAGTGCGAGAGAGAGAGGAAGATCCATCCTTCGCGCGCGTTTCGAGTGCGTGATTAATCGCGGGGACTTAATCGAGTGTCGAATTAATCGCGACAGATTTACGGGCGGTTGTGACAGTGCGGCGTGACACTCGGGCGCGATTATGAAACGCCGTCGCCGGTGCAAGTGATTTAGTAATAGTAGCCCGGAGGAAGGAAAGACCGCGCGGGCGTCGCGCCGCGTCGAGTGAGAGCCCCTCTCCGTGTGTCGCGAAGATACCCGGAAGATGGATCACGTTTCAGAAAACATCCAGGAACACTGATCCCCCGACCGCGGAAATAAAGAAGGAGAAGGAAGCGCTCCGTTTCCGCGCACGGCTGTACGACGTCTTCTTCTCGACAGTCTAATTAATCTTCCGGACGTAACGAGCAGACCGCCCGTCGGAGCCCCGTCGCACGACATCCCGAGGAGGCGCGCCCCTCCTCTCCGGGTGTAAAACTGCGAGCCGCCGAGTGGTACGAGCTGTAAGTAAGCCGTCTTCCGGACGAGGGAGGCGAGGAGGCGGGAAGATTCGTCGTTCGGGATGCCGTCTTAATTAACAGAGCTGCTTCGACTAACCGGGGTTCAATTTCCTTAAATACACTCGTTACGGATAACTCGATCAAAGCGCGTCGACGCTCAAGGTCGACATCGGCGTAAATTAAAGACCATCGACATCGATAGCTCTCGCTTAAGTGGTTTCAACCAGTGGCACTTTGTACTGCCGGAGGAGGATCGGGAAAGGTGGCTGACGTGTCTTCGATTACCAATCGGCTCTAGATCTCTCGAGCGCCGGCGAAGAAGTCGATAAGGGCGCTCTAGAGTAGTAGAGGGGGCCTTCCAATCCTTAAGGGTAGAAATAGAAAAGCGACAGGGAGGAGAGAGAGAGAGCGGGAAAAACCTTTGAAAGCCTGTCCCTGATCAAACTCTATCGAGGCAAATCCCCCAGGCGAGACGGTGCTTCGGAAGTCATCTTCACCGAAGAATTCGCAGCAACGAGGCGAGGCGAGAGCTACAGCTCATAAGTGATTAAGAATAGTTTGGTAGTCGAGCACTCGCTTGTCGAGAGCTCGCTCGTTGACCGACTCGATCGACGCACGACTTCACGAAGATCGACGAGGGTGAATTCCGACAAAGAATCAAGCAACGGCGAGCGAACGTTCGTTTCGGGCAAGCAGCGGCGACGGTGATAGACGGCGCTCTCTCGGAACGATACGTTTCGGAAGATTAATTCCGAAAGTGGCCGGAGCTATTTCGAACCGCGGTAGGAATTGAGTGAATCGATCAAGGCGCGCATTGCCGGCGACCTTTGCTCAAAGAGCGCCGGCCGCATTAATAAGGACGGTCGACTGCGCCGCGCCGGAGACTTTAAGTGGCAGAACGAGTGGCGGCAAAGGAGGCTGGTGAAAGAGAGAGAGAGAGAGGGGGGGGGAAGGTAGAGACAGCATTCCAAGTGGTAGAACAAGAACTCGGAAGAGGCGCAAGCGGAATAAGAAGCACGAAGATAGCAGCTGTGTCGGACGGGGTCTATGGCGATGAGACCGGAAGGTTAATCTGGAAGGTTGGATAGAGCGAAGAACGGAGAGGCTGGAGTAGCTATCGCGACGTGGTGGAAAAAGTGGACCTTCGACCCGGCTGGATGTGAGAAATTGGGGGGTGGGCTTGAGGATGTGTGAAGACGAATGCGCCGAAGATAAGAGCCGGTTGAAGTGGAAGGCGAACGTTGATCCTTGAACTCTGTTATCCCGGCGGGGATAGAAAGAAGGGAGCGTGTGCTACCACGTGGGCGCGACGCGATAAAAATCGAGGTGCGTGGTCTCGAAAGATACGATTGGCCGAGAAACACGGCCGTTTCGCGAGCCGGTTTCCCCGCGGTAAGAACTCGCCATTAAGATCCCGAATACGATCGTCCGAAAGAGTTAGAGGGGGAGAGAGAGAGAGAATTCCCGAGGAAGTCTCTTCCTCGGGGCCGAATCGATTCGTCAAGTCGCGAACGGTGGTCGCCGCGCCGAAGTTATCGCAGAATTATCGAGGATGCTCGAGCGGTGAGAACGACGATTCCTTCGGTGCTAATTAACTGGAGACTCGAGAACGAGGGATCCGCGATCCTGTTGCACACTCGGCCGTCCTACATTCCGGTTGAAGGAAGTGCTGCGGGTGGTGAGCCGGTGGGTGGAACGGTGATGGCATGAGGACATTAGTGAGGACGCGCTGCGGGTCCAGCGAGGAGGAGGATGAGGATGGTGGTGGGCGTGATGGTCCTTGGTCAGCTACTGACGAGGATCCTGCTCGCGGCCCACGCGGGAGATCGCCTCGCGGCAGCTCGCAGAATTCTCAGAGACGTGCCGTTGATAGATGGGTAAGTTAAGTCCCTGTGTAAACCCGAGGCCTTTCAACAAGCCGCAGGTTACCTGACCCGGAGATAGAGTTAAAGAGAGAGGGGGAGAGAGAGAGAGAGATTGAAACGCCACGACTCGCCTCGAGGAGGACACTTCCTCCGCCGGGTCGCTCGAAATAACTCTATCGCGGTAACGCGACGCCGTCTGAAATTGCCTGAAACGTGCCTCGATCTCGCGCCCTAATGCACATTCAGCCGCGGTAAACGGCGAGAATCGTTCTTTTTTGCCCGCTGATAATCTTCGCCACCATCTTGATTTATTTGTCTCCCGCAAACTCGCGGACGCCGGTGTATACGTTGCCGCCACCGCGACCATTTTTGCCCGGCGATATTTCACGAAGCAGTTACAGGGGGAAATATATTGTGCTAAACTAGCGTAATTTGCGTCCGCGAGGAAAATAGAGAATGCCGCTCGCGCGTATGAAAACCAACGCGGCGGTGGCCGCTCGCGGAGCCGTAGCTCAAATGTCAGAAGGCGGCAATTTAATTAACGTAATTAATCTTGAAACACCGCACGCGCGCGCTCGCGCGAATTTAAGATGTCGGGATGTCTGGCCGCGTCCCCCGGTAAAAATTCCAGCCGCCGAAACGGCGGACAACGGTTCCCGTTTTCCCGGCTGCGGAACAATAATACTCGCGACAACTCCCGCGGTGAAAATCCCGAAATCCCGGGTGAAAACGGACGCCTTGCGCGTCCCTTTGTCCCGTAGACGAGCAGCGAAAAACTGCCGCGTCGAAAATCCAACGGAATAACTGAAATCCCATCGTATAATCGTTAACCGGGCGCGCCCGTCGTCGTCGCGTCTGTGCTGGTGTTGGCGGTGGTGATGGTGGTGGAGGCGCGGGAGAACCACGAGACGCGAATTTATAGCCCGGCGAGAACAATGTCGTCGTAACGACGCGCACGGTCGACTTTGTATGGCCGGGCGTGTCACTCTAATTACACCGGGAATTTAACTTCAAAGGAATGTCCGTCGTGTCTGATTCGCAATGACACGTTGCACCCGTCCGTGCGACTTTAGTACCAACGATTCCATCTCGGGCGAACAAGACACCGCCGGGTGATAATTCTCGTCGAGGACTCGTCATGTTTCCGCGGGAGACGGAAACGAGGCGTACCGACATCGGAAACCGTCCGCGATCGAGCGGAGAAATGGCGCTGCGACGAAAAAAAACGGCGTGCGTGCATTCCGAAGTATTTTCCGACTTTTGCGACGTCCGAAATTGCGCGGCGACGTTAAGACGTTTAATCATGGCTCGGAAGTTCGAGGCTGCCGCGTAATCCCACTTAAGTATTCCGTGGAGCAACGATTCCAATTTCGAGAAATGTCGGCGACGGCGGCGGAGACAGCGGTGGCGGCGGGGTTGCGTGGTAAACAAAAATAAGGTCAGAAGCGAAATGCGCGACGGGAATTAAAAATAACCAGACAGATAGCGCTGCGTAAATAGGATTCGCCGGTCTATCGGGGTTGCCGCCGGGATCGCCAAAACAAAAAGAACCAATTGAATCGCTTCGGCCCGAGGAAGGGAGGAGAGAGATAGAGAGAGAGAGAGAGAGAGAGAGAGAGACACAGTCGCGCATTTTCGCCGAGATAATGAGAAAGTTTTGCGAGCGCGGAAAAGAAAGGACGTTAATGGAGAAGAGCGAACAAAAAAGAAAGTCAGGAGAGAATAGGGCGGAAGGTGCATTGGTAGGAGACGCAAGGAAGATAGAATTTACTCGGGAGAGTGGCCCGTGGCTGTTGGTCCCCGGGTTTCTCGGGTTACCGTAGGGTAGATACGAATTTCCGGTCCTCCCGCCTGGTACAAACTCGTGTGTCTCTTCCACCTACTTCCGTGTTCGCGCGTGTACTCCTCCCCTCCCCCCCATTCACCGTGCAAACACCTACACATTGCGCGAGTGCATTCGCCTTGGGAACACCGAGCATCGATGTGTATCTGATGTCCCAACATCTTTCTCCATTTTGTGCGAGGACAATTCGTAAGCTCTCAGTTTTAAAGTTGCGTCGTATCGTCATATCGCGGCTTTACGTTTCCATTTCGTTACATTTTCCATTTGAATATCTTCCCATTGCGACGTGTTTACAACCAGTGACATGTGAAATGTCACATGATTTTTTTTTTGGAAAACTAGACGCTACGAACGGCACGTTATCGCTGTGCCATTAAACCCGAAATTTGGTTTTAAAGTAACATCGCGCACAGTGCCAGAATATATCTATCTTCGCGCGTTTTTTCACTGATGATCAATGCGATTTACGTCTACATATGCACGCAACAATGTGACGTTATTTTAGCGTTTGAATTGTACGCTCACCATTTTGCGTCGACATCCAACGACGACAGGCCGGATGCATCACTGCGTCCCGACCGCATCCTCAGCATCCCAGTTAGCGTCCCACATCGGTCGCACCTCAGTCACTTGCTTGACTTCATCGCTCTCGCGGCCGCGATCATTTTAACGGCGCTCAACTATTTCGCGGAAAGTATTTTGTGGACGAGCTTTATCCCTTGAGAATCTCACGAGTTGCGAATCGCGTGGAAAAAATTGCGAAGGGAACGTCACGGTGCTTCTAACGGGGTCAAGAGAGGAAAAAGAGAAGACATCCCGTTTCGCGGAAACATTTAAACTTGATCAAAAGCCGAGGTTCCGGTTTCCGTGAAAATTCTCTCTCCTAATTTTAACTTTGAATTCTATTTCTGATTTTAATCGGGATAACGTTATAATTCGCCATACGTGAAATATCTAGAAAATTGGCGCTCGCGACGATCGCAAAATTGTTCAACGAATAAAATAAATAATCGCGAATTTCGCGCGTGCGCAATTCTAATGCGCGATTTTGGTACACAATTACATACGTATAGTCTTGCGTAAATTTGTGGCGCAAATTTCGGTACGCAATTTTAGTGTGCAAATTTGGTGCACAAATTTGGTACGTATTTTACAGTTGAAACAATTAAGGGATCTTGTGGAACAAGTAGTTCTGTCGAATATTTCAATATCTTGAATCAAGATAAAAAAAAACATTTATTTAAAGAAACGGTCAAAACTTGACATTGAGAGAAAAGTGCTTGATATTTGTGATTGCAAACAAATTGTTTATAGTCGGACAGTATATTTGTGTGGTAATGCTGCTGTAATGGTTTCGATAATAACCTTATATTCATTTATTACTATTACTATTTTTTCCTTAGAGTAACAAAAAGAATATGGCTGACACCGAAAATGACTACAATTTGTAATGAGATTAACCATTTCTTTTTCTCTCTCAATGTACATGTAAAAAAACTAGAAGCTCAAAAAATCGCATTGATTTTGATTGTATAAATCAATTCGCCAACAAATCCATCACCTTAAATATTGCTCATTTTCTTAACTCACCGAAATACCGGGAACTCAGGATCAGCCACGTTCTGTATTCAATTCTGCAATAAAAATATAACAACACCAATTAAACAATTATACAATAGGCAGTGGCTTAAGTAAGAAAAATATGCGTGAATACGAACATATATTTTTTTGCATCTTTGAAACTCGATGATTTTTACTTTTTACAATTATGTTTCAAATTTCGATTGCAAAGGATTCAATGAAAAAATATAAAAATTTATGAATCTACCTTCGAGCCGATCCTACCCGGTCCGAATCCTCCGGTACGGCATCCGCATCCACTCTGTAGCCACACTTTTCGCCAGATCTATAACAAAAAGCAAGTTTTCTGTTTAGCAATATAAAAAGATATGAATACAAATAAAAGATGGTAGTCACTCGCAGAATTCCAAGATACCGCTATTGCTCAACGTAATCGTAGCATGATGATCACACATGCAAAGTAACAATGTATACCACAGATACACAGATTCGATAATTCCGGAAATCATGCGCAATGTTTCCAGAACTATTTACTAGTGCGACAAAGACTGTCATTGCTCAGCAGTTTCGTAAGTATTATTGGTCCCGAGGTCACGCACGCGCACACACACTCACACACGTGACTCCCCAGCCGACAAGACACGAGTACCATTACGTTACTTATTCATTAATTTAACGTTCTCTCTACATCGTAATATTGACATTACACGTTATTCGATGGTACTAATTTCCCTTGACACTCAAACCGTCGAAATATGCAACCCTCGCGACGACAGCCGTTTGCGGTCGAAGTAAACAACAACTCGGATCGAGATCGGGATAGCCAATCGATATCGCGGGAAACAGGCAACGATTTACAAGCTTTTCTCACAAGACAAGAAAGAAGAAAACGATCAGGCAACGTTCTAATAATATCACGACAAGTGATCTTTCGCCTCTAAGTAGTCCTTACGTAATAACCGCTCTTCACCGCTACGAAATACGCGTCTTTCCCCGGAAAGGCCGAACTCCGATTCTCCGGCCAAGGAATGCCGGTTCCACGAGCAAACTCCGCGGAACTCTCCGGAAAGTGGCTACGATAAAAGACATCGAGGAAGAGGCGCGCCAGCGATTTCCCCCGATGTCGGCGAACCGAAGGCAACTCGTTACCGATAACGAGTGAAAGCCTCATCTGTGACCCATTGTGCATCGTATAATAGTTCATCCTTCTTGCTCCGGCTCGAGAAGAAGCGGCCAGCGCAAATCCCGCGGGCAACGAACGCCACGTGTCATTGATAAAACCAGAAAAAGCGTGCGCGAGCTCTTCGAGCGAGTTGCCGGGAGATCTCGGGGAGTTGACGGTGCTCCTCATGCACAAACAAACAGCCGTGGCACAGACTCGAATATATAAAACCGACCGATTTCACAAACCCGCGAGCATCGATTGTATCGAGCCGATATTAATGTGCGGGGAATCGCGCAAATGGATGGCGAATGCGGGATTGCGGGATGCGGTAACGTGTTTCTTGCAAGAATCGCGAAGCAATCGGTTTCGCATCTATCGCCTGTGCCGGTTACAAATTCGCGTCGGTCTGTTTCCACGGAGCTT